GAAGGTCTCCTTTCGCGTTCCTCAGGAACGCCGCGGGACGTGACAAAACGTCGACATGTTACGCCTCGGGAGTGAGAACGGGCTGCTTTCTCCCACTGAAAATGCTACATACGTGTAAACAGAAAGAACTTTCTCAGACTTCCTTTCCTGGACAATCGAGCATCCAACCACTCAGCAGGCTGTTGGATTTGGGCTTCTGAACTTACTCATTACTGAAATAACAGGACTGCAGGTGAATCCTAGCTCAACCAATAACTTGTAAAGAACGTTTCAAACAACAACCAAGGAAAAATCTCGGTGCTGGTGGAGGAGAGAGCATGTTTGATTGTGTGTAGATGAACTTTGACAGCCAATCAGAGAAGAGAGAGTAGATTAAATACGTAGGTTGTAGATGAAAAGAAAAAAATTCAGTAACCGGATGATTGATGTGCCAGCACATGTACGATACATACATACACTTGTAACACTGCTCAGAAAATGTTGGTTTTTGGTTGATCATTGTCAGTTTTGTACTGGTGTATAACTGTTGTATAACTGTAAGAGAGTTGATAAGAAATGCCACCAGCTGTATTTGTTAATATCGTGAGGTTCAGCCTTCTGTGGTGACTACAATGCCTTTTATGTACAGCATTTTTAGATATATCTGTATCTGCAAATTTTCACCGCAGAATAATCATGACGTAATCGACTGATCTGGCACATCTGGTCTGAGAATCCCGCGAGACAAAAGCCAGTCCGGCTGGATTGTCTGGCTCTCTTTTCCTTCTGGCTCATCCTAATCAGTGGATGTCTACACTTGCACACGAGGAGGCAGTTTAAAATCACAAACAGAACAAAGAACAAAGCACATGCTCCCAACAAACTTTACACAGACACGCACCGCATCTGAAAATTTAAAGCAAACACCACCACCTTCACGTTATGAAACACAGGGCAAACGCAGGGCATGGAGAAGATGCCAAAAGAAACACCCCAAAAACCTTTACCTGAATGCAGCAGAAGCCTCTTTATTTTTCCTCTCATCATCATGGCCTTACTCCCAAGCCACAACATGCGTGTTAGTGACTGAATTATAATAAGATGAAATACGCTTTGCAACTGTTGAGAGCAAAAACTAAACAATACAAAGAAAGGATTGTGCAGACAGTGATGAGGATGAGGCAGAGTCTGAGAGAGCTGGACAACTTTTGTCTTCCTGGATTCTCAGCCGATTACTGCAGCTCGGCTTACCCTTTTACTTTCAGGCCCACCAACAAAGACAGATTTGTCATCAGCATCACACTTCAGCAGTTCGAACCTGATGTAAGAGATTTTCTTAGTGTGTCGTTGGGCTTTAAAGACAGTTTCCACTCAGAGCTACTGTGTTTCATGCTCTAGATTAGGTCTGAGCCGTGGTGCTGATAGCAACACATTTACAGGAAGCACTGCTGGGAGAAGCAGTGTGGACAGTCCTTTCAACAATATCTTAAAGTTTCATGAGTTTCATCCATAAGCTCCTCTTAGAAGGGGAGATCTTTAAAAGCGCACTGCAGTCGCCGCTGGGAAGCTCGACTGGAAAATACTGGGTCACTGCTATTTCTATTAAACAATTACATCAGTGCAGCTGAAGAGTGCCAGCAGGGAGGCGGGACCACGAGGAGTTTAAGGAGGCAGCGCTCGGTTTTACCTCTTCTGGTAGCCGACCGCAGCTCTGCGGTTTTACCTCCCAGGGTGGGATAAGAGTGTCAGCAGGAAGGCTTTAAGGCCTCTTGCTCTGAACTGTACTAACCGTGGAGTGTGTGGTTGATTTTAGTCTGTAGATGATCTTCAGTAGATGATCTGATAATACTGAGAAATGCCTTTTTCTCCTCCTTTTTCTTTTTGTCATAGAGAAAAAAGAAAAAAGTTGCAGTTTTGGAGCAGACTTCTATAGATTTCATGCCAAATCTGCACCCTCACACACAGGAACCAGCCTAATGATTTAACGGATGTGAATGCAAAGGTCAGAAAGTTGTAACAGGAAACTTTAAAAAAAAAAAATAATGGCCTGCTGGCTATTTTGGAGTTCAGGAGGTCACCATTTCACCACACAGATTTCTGCTTTAAACAAAAAAAAGTAGATTCTTCATTTCAGAGTGTCCAAATGGTGGCCTGGAGAGCTGTGGGAGTGTATCAGACCCATTTTATTTCTGTAATATGCAAACAATGTATATTTATAAATGAATAACTCTTTGCATGCAAGGGAAAAAAAGAAGGGAAACCCAGGCTGTTTTTGCACTTGCCAGATGGCAGGGATTTTCAGAGGGAGATGTATCAAAGGATTTAACTGATGCGAGATAATAAGAAGC